CATTGTAAAACTTGTGTATGAACAAATGTATATTTAGCGCAGCTGATATAATATCACAATCAGCCGTGGCCATTTACTCACAATTTTAGGCATAGGTCACAAAATTTTTCACTGTTTCAGAATATTCTTTTAATTTAAAGTACAGAGGGACCGCGATGTATAGATGTCATAACACTCCTAACATATATGTGGACGATTCGACTCATGAGTACGTTATTCGCAAAAATCTTCCCCAACATCTGAAGAATTTCTCAAGATATGAACACTTCGCCAAATTTCAAAGAATAATATATCATGTGATTGTTTCAACATCAATATACCTTGAAATTTGAGCTGCTATCATGTACGGATCAAATAAAAATAAATCGTAAAGAAAAGTTGCACTAATTTTTCCGTAACGGGTATGCGTGTTTTTCTAAGGTTTGTTCTTCACCTGTGTACACCAGGAATGTATCACGGTACAATATGTGTGCTTGCTTTTTCACATTTTGGACTACTTTCCTTTTGAAATGGGCAGGTTACGTGCCGTTTTCTTCAGCACAGTTATTTTTGGTATTTAAAAATTAAAATAAACATTTTTGCCAAGAACTAAAAGTTATTTAAAATGTTGTCTTTAAAGTTTATGGGCAAGTGTGATCCAAACATGTGGACTTTCCTGCATATAGTCACAGTCTGAGAGGTATAACGACGCACGCATCGCCCCATCGTAAAGTTTTAAAATGTATCAATGGAAATAGCTTTGTTTCAAATAATTACTATATAGCTGATGTGCTGCACATGATTTTTTTCAGAACGTGTGAATGCCTATATACCATTCGTGCGCGGCACGCATGCATTAGATCCCCGAAATGGGTATTCTTCCTTTGAGGTTCATCGCTCGGAGGCGCGGTCGACAATCATCATACGGATTGAATGATGTCGATGAACTCATCTACAGCAGTAAATTATAACAATTCACTCGTAGAAAGAAAACCTGCGAATATAGTACTGTATTGGATGTGGACTGCATTCGTGATGAAATTCCACCTGGATTCATTTTGTCTGGCTTTCAAAAGTTTTGCGTTGGAAGCATGTCAAGCGTATAAAGCCTATGTTAATATGGGATATTGCACGAGCCGAAGTCTACTTTTTTATTTTTATTTTATTTTTTACAACAAGAATAATCTGTGGATATTTTTTGCGGTTTAGGATCTTCTCTCAACCGTTTGCGCTGATTTAGTCCGTGCGAAAAGCGACAGCGACATTCTCACGCAGAATTTTCAAGAGCAGCCAGCAGTGCTAAACGCGCCACACACCGAGCAGGAGCGGCATGTTCATTTCTTGAGAGTTGACTCACGCCGGGATAGACAATATTCGCCCCGAACGACATCCACGCACGACGCTGACACTGTCGTGGATGCATCACAATCAGCGTGGACACTAGTTCGCATGCAGGTTCCCGGAATATACGATACATCTCAAGACGACAGGCGGATGAATTCAACTACAGTGAAGTACGGAACCTGTATATAACTTTGACCAGAAAGAACAAAATCTAACTGACGATAAGTCACAACAACAAAAGCAACCTTAATACTGTACTCTGAAATACTGTACCTTAAATTGACAAGCACAAATTGAGCATTATTTTCTACAAAACCAAATCTAACCTTGATTTATACTGCTGCACTTCATTTAAGAAGCATGGATATACAGTAGTATGTTAGAATAAAATGAAGGAAGCAAATGGGGATCTACGGTGGAGATAAAACATACAGTAATTGAACGTTAACAACGCCTACTTATTATGATGTGCTCCAGATTGTGCAATCCTTTTTTTGGGAGCAGTTTTATAGATATATTTGAAATTATTCCATTTCTACTTGAAAACTTACTACCCGCACAACCCAACAAAGTTTAAAACTTCAGAATATTATGGTTATATTAAATGTATTCTTCTCATGAGCAATTGCAGACCTGCATGCACATCAATGCAGTTCAATGTGATGTAACGCTTTGATTTCGTAGAATTTCCGTAATAAACAATGCGTTATGATATAAACATGAAGATTCTGGCATTTCCGTGCTAGAAACGACGAATTGAAAGATTTCAGGAAATTGAGAATGAAACAAGAGTCCGAAATCATTTTCAACGAAGATGAACCAATACAAAACAAAGGAAAAAAATATTGCTGACTTCAGGGAAACAATTTTCTCCTTCGTTGGAGCAAGTTTTTCCCTGCGCGACTGATTATATTAAATCCTGAAGTGGAATAATTTCGGAAGCTTCGAAAAAAGGTTACGAATTAAAATAAATTGTTGCGACTTTTCATTGTGTTTAGGCTAATTTACCCCGTATTATATACATGCTCACATTTTGAAAATCGAATCACAGTACAGTACGCATTAATTGGGATTCGGATAAAATTCGTATGAAATATATTCTCACAAAATGAAGACTTCATGTTTTATAATTGCTCCACATTGGCCGGCTATGAATCACCTCCGAGTATACTGCATGCTGCATGGTGTATGCAGTAATGAGCAGTAAGCAGTATGCACTACTGTACTATGCAGTGAAGCCTCAACGAGAAATGCGGAACATCGCTTGCGTTCTGTGCTTTTATTGCAAGAGTTAGATTGCATGATGGCGGCGCGCCTGATTTGCTTAGTTTTGACCTTATGTGCAGCCACACGTGGTTCCAACGAAGGTGGGTGACCTCGGCGGTCAGCAGGCTGGTAACCCATGCGGTTGGTTGTGAGCTACCGTCTTATGTTGGATATCGTGTTTTGAGTTGGGAAGTTCAGTCCTTTCGATGCGCAGATTACCCTGGGGGATGGTAATTCGCGTACCAATCGGAAAGCTCTTCTGATAGGACGGATCATCAACATTGGGCTGACGATATAGCGGTTATTCTGAAGTCCTCAGACGTTTGTGCGTCCCAAGTAAGGCCACGCTCCCGAGATGTTACTCGCCCCTGCCTTTTCACGGGAATACCAAAAAGTCAACGGCATCAGGTCTGCTATCATGTGCCGGCTACCGGCATCATGCCCGTTCGCGTGGTCGAAGTAGAACAATGTCCCTGCAGTCCATCTGCTTCTATGGGGGCCCAATTGTGATGATCAGCTTTCATTCCGGACGGCACTCACAGGTGGAATGAGCATGATTCTTATTTCCTTAGTGGGATCATTAAACTCTTCACGAGCGAAGCGTTGAAGTTAGCAAGTTAAAAAGTAAGGTTAGCTTAATGGATTACCTGAAGTTTTTCCATTGTTTTGTATTTCTATCTGACGTAATATGGTTGCCGGAGCAGTATGATTGAAACCTACATTTGAATCCAGTTTACAATATCTTGGAAACTTCAAGTGCTGGAAAGGATTGGAAAAACGCTACCGTCATATACATTTCTTCAAAATTGTATTCAGTGGTTTCCTGATGTGCATGGGATCCCTCGTTCGAGAGATTCTTCCTAGTTCGATTTGGGCTGCCATCGATTTTTTGCTGCTATATATAATCCATCACCTATTATTAAGATTGAAGGTCAGAAAATATCTGATTTTTTTCACATAAAAGGCTTGTTCGCGCACACGTGGCTGCCCCAACAATTTTTCCGGTGCTTCAGTAAAAGCGATTCTTGATTGTCAGGTGTCTTGATATATTGTCTCTGAGGGTACTGGCCATTTTTTGTGTTGAGCAGTACTGCAGTAGTTTACTCAGAAATTAACGAAAAAAACAGAAATGTCTTTGCTATTCCATAGAGCTCAGTTGAGACTTCTTTCTTGGTCTGAAACCAATTGGAATTTTTACGGAGCTTTATATTTACAGCTAAATTTATTTGTAGAGCTTTGCAAACGATGAACTCCCGCTTTCAGAGGTAATGTCTAGTAACTGAGCTGCCGCCGTTAAATTTTATGAAATTTTTTTTCAACACTTGAGAATAATTTCATTATGACACTTTCATAGATATGAGTTCTATTTTTTGGCTCTAAAAGATAACGGCAAAAAATAAGAAAATGGCTTTTTAGATCAGATGATTTTTCTTCAAAGTACTGTATTCAAACGATTTAAGTTTTCAATGCGAGTGGGAACTTCACAGCCTGCACTACACTCAACACCATGCACACTTCCATGCACTGCTTGGTACATGGCAAAATGTGATGCATGTAAAAGTTTTGCCTATGGGCCATTTCCTTCCTTTGCTTTAGCTTGTACAGTATCTATGACAGCCTACAAATCATCCACTCACAGCATCAATGTTGTTCCGCGTGCGTCGCTTGAGCTATCTGGGTCCAGACTGGACTCGTTTTACTGCGCGAAACGTATGTTATTTGAGCCCGGCGTCACAGCAGTTAACAAGACGAACTCGAAATCTCCGACTGTAGTGGTCCACCAACGATATCCGCGCTGTGAGTGGGGCATAAGCCAGTAAAAGTTTAGTATTCCCCTTTGCATGCTGACGTTGTCACGATGAGTTTGGAGGCGGGTTCATCCCGATCGCGTCGGATTTATGCAAACAGTGAGAGGAAGGACGATGCCGATCACCTGACCGAGTCGCGTGGTGATTTGGGCAGCAGTTAAGCAATCTCGAAACACCGTCCTTCTTTGCACTGCAGCTTCCAGAGAGGGTCAGTCAGTTGCTGGACGTCTTCCGTCGTGTCGATCCGAGTTCTGCTTACTCATTGCTTCATCCCTAATCTGTTGACGGGATTCCATTTCTAACCCCATTTCTTTCGTTCATTATGCCTGTTCTCTCGTGATTGTACTGTAATGTGGACGACTCAACGAAATCAATTCCTTGAGATGGTGTTGAAATCGAAAGAACTTGTTGCCCTGCATAAATCTAAATCTTGGCTTCAGGAAGGTTAGTAACGGTGACAAGGTTAGCTACATCTGCGCTAAATGTTGGCTTCTGAGAGTTCGTGCTTCCCCGTGTGTATTGCGAACTACCGCGCAGGGCGTAGAGCCGTAGATATGGATGCCGTCTGAAACTTGATGAGTTGAATAGTTTGTTTCAATCGTTGCAGAATGAGACGACACACATAGCTAGTTTGATTGCCACAGAAAACGGACTGTGCCATGTCCGTCGCGTCGTACGCCGCGGTGGGCTCTGGCACTACGGCCAGTGGAGTCCTTGGATGGATTGGTGAGTATATTTCTGGGGTAATTCCTCTTTTAACACTCTCTTTATTTATCCGCGAGAATATTTCGATCGATTCCAGGCAATTTTTGATCCCAGACCACTGGGTATTTCATAAACTTTTTAAAAGCTAGGGGTATGTACAATTTTCTCTCCCTTCCCGTTTAATGTTTATATTCTGTAGAAGCTGTTAAGGGCCTGAGCGGAAGAAGTGGTGTTTTAATAGAACCTGAGATCAAGTAAAGTTTCTGGCTTTTACGGTAGAATCCGGAAAATTTCTTGGGAGAATTGGAATTTCATTCGATGTGCTCACAATGACACAATGTATACCCTATGACCTACGTAGTACCCTTGCGAACTCCAAAGATGGCTCAGTTCTAAGCGTACGTATTTTTCTCTAGAACTTCTCTAGAAAAAAGGCATCATGCAGGGGAAATCATGTACTGCATTTACTCAATCAAAAACCTCACTTCTTCATTTCAAGATATGTGTCCGAAATGGCTGCCTACAAGTCATTTCTCCCTGCTGCTTTCAAGATTTTCAGGAGACTCCCCTTCTCTTAACTTCAATGTAGACTATTCTTATCATACTTTTATTCAGATTACTCCGTTTTACTCGGATCAACGTTAAAGTATCGAACTGATCACGACAACCTTGTTCAATTAGGATGAGCAACATACAGGTGTTGGCACAAGTAATCCCCAATGATCACATCGAACTGTGACTCAAATTTATTTCTCTTGCTATTACGATTCGAGACACCACTTTCAAGGTTGGGCGCGTTTTGAATTGGTAAACTATTTTCAGATGAGGCCTCAAGATAATTGATAAATGGCTGAACCGCAGTCGCACATGTGCAGCCGCCACCTCAGATCTGAAGTTTCCAACCTTTTTGACTTCTCGCAGCTATTCTGGCTGAGCCTCTCAAGATTATTTTGGGGGTCTTTCCTCTGGGTTATGGGCAATTATTTTAGTTCTTAGCTAATCACGTAACGTACGATATTTAGTTTTTCTCTTCCTTTTTTCTTCTTGCACAAATTTCAATCGGCTCGAATTTTGTTCATTATTCTTCAGTCTCCTTGCGTTTTGTTCCATTTCCCTGAAGCGGTCGCGGAACACCGGCAGAGAACCTCTGTTAGAATTTTCAACGGATCTTAAATCATTAAAACCATTTTCGTGAAATGAGCCTCTATATTTTCCATTTCAAATACTTTTAAGGGCCTTTGTTTCCGTGAAGGTCTTGCTCAGTCCCCTGTTTTCATCTACACGAGAAGAATTCTCCTCTCGCAGACCTCATATCCAATTTAGAAATATTTTTTTAGCGTTTTTACCCAGACAACTACCCGAAATCAGAATGTGACCAATCATCACCAGAATCCTGTGTAAAAAAAATGATAATCTGTTCAGCGCGCGCTATGGGTTCTGGATGAATTCCCGAAGTAATTTGATTTAAATTGCAGCCCTGTATTACCTCTTCACTGGCCACGGACATGACATCGACTTCGGCTGGTTCCTGGAGAACACCTCGCCCCACATGTGGGCTGGGATCGGGGTTGGCTTAGCCGTGGCGTTGTCCGTCGTCGGAGCAGCTTTGTAAGCATTTTCTTACATACGAATCTCTCTTGTGAATCGACACAATTTAGTGCCATACTTCCAGAGTTTACGCCTGCTGTCAAAATTTTATAATATCCGGCAAGTGTTTTCTCAGTCGTTGAAGTGACTTATAACAACCAAAATAAACTGACTAGTCATTCAGGCAAGGAAAGCAATGCTTCATTACGAAGTCATGAGTCCAACCTACAATATATTATACGCCACATTTACTGCACGTGCGCTCCAGTAAAATGAAAGAACAAAATACTGAATAAAATGCAATACTGTACGAAAAGTATAAGCCTTTAGGGGCTACAGAGATTATGCGGAGACTTCCGTGTCTGAATAAGGAGAAGAAAATACTGAAACTTCTAATTTGTTAAGCTCAAAAAGACATGGATAAGTCGAAGGGGCTTTTCCGTCAGAATTGAGAGGGAATGTGACTCTCGTCGAAAGTGATGAAAGGCCACATAGTGCACACATTTTGAGAAGTCAAATTAAACGTAACCTAAATTGAACCGAATGGAATCTTATACAGTACTGTAACAGGATGGCGAAACCCTTGTACTAGAACCTACGATCACATACGAGTGATGATCACTTCCTGCTCTCCTGAGAATGACATCTTGCGCAGAAACTTTAATAATGTGTCACCCCTCGTAAGGCGCGCGAAACCTCAACGCCCCTGCTAGATTGCTCATGTGGGGTATAACAGAAAAAAACGAGAATTTTTATCTGACGAGCGCTTGATAACTCGGGTTGAGGGGTACACACACGAAGCAAAGCCGCGCACCCGATCGTTAGACCATTCGAACGATCCACGTGACGCCTTGAAAAAATCTCCAAAACATAATTTCAACTTTATTTGTTATAAAAGGGGAATTTACACCACCGGCGTGTCAATCATGGGGGCTGGTGTGAGAGCTCCACGCATCAAAACCAAGAACTTGATTTCCATCATCTTCTGTGAAGCCGTGGCCATTTACGGACTCATCATCGCCATTGTAATTTCCGGGATGCTCGAGGTCAGTAACAACACGAATTCGTCAAGTGAGCAAACCGTTCACGCCGAATTTCGTTTGCAGAATTTTACGGAGGCCAAAATCCTGAGCGATGATCGCGTGAAACGTGAGAACTGGTTGGCGGGTTATGCCATGTTCGGAGCTGGGATAACTGTCGGTTTGGGGAATCTTTTCTGTGGAATATCCGTTGGAGTAGTCGGTGAGTGTTATACTGGACACAATTTCATTGAAAGCAACCAGAACGTCTTCAGGAATGCTTTCTGTCTGCCAGGATCTGGAGCTGCCCTGTCAGACGCTGCGAACCCCAATCTTTTTGTCAAAATTCTCATCGTGGAAATCTTCGGCAGTGCCATCGGTCTTTTTGGCCTCATCGTTGCAATTCTTCAGGTTTGTGTCGTGCTGCTGTTTGGGAAGACGAAGGGTCTTATTTGCATGATTTTTCCAGCTTTCTCACGTGAAAATGGGAGACAAGGTTTAACTCGAGCAGCAAGATGTACATTCCAGCGCAGCAACGAAAACATTTCAGCAGCAAACCATTTCAGGAAAGCTGGGAAGCAATTTGAGGAAGTGGACTTGCAGATGATCCATTTGGGATTCTGGTTTGTCTGCAATTTTACTTTCTCCTCAAAGCAAAAACTTACTTTGCGTTCATTTAGAGAAAGCATAAAGTGAAAAGATCTTTAGGTGAGGGACATTATGGCGAAATATTTATTTGAAGCATTCGTGAAAGTTAACGAAAGACCTCCAAAATGTGTAGTGATATGATGTAGTCAAAGTCGCCCATGCGAGAAAGTGAAGATGTTTGTGCCTGGTTGAATGATTTTCAAACTTCCTTTGTTACTTCATGCGCGTGCTATGGTTTCAACCTGGGAGAATTTCCCAAGCTTCTGATTCCTCATAAATCTTTGCTTGAAATACAACCGAATTTCCAACGCTTCCAGATTGTGCTATCGCCTTTTTTTCCTATGATATTACTGTACTTCGGAACAACGGAAAATTGTGTGTGAAGTGAAACGAAAATATGTGGACTTCAGCAAACTTGTATTGGTATGATCGAGGGGATCCAATCGCTCGTCAATGGGAGCCGGTTCTATTTCGGGCCGAGGCACCAGACAGCTGAAAATTCTGGATCGCTGATTCTGCCTGTTATCGGCCTCCCATCAGGATATTATTCCTTGGAATCGAATGGTATAAAAACTTAAAGCGCTTTATCGAATCTCCTGTCTTAAATGAGGATCTCTGAAGAAAAGCACCGAGAACTTCTTAGGTCTTACGTGCGCTCGATTTAGGCACGCCTCAATACAACACTGTATTTCGACCGCGATGGTCATCTGCTGAATTTTAATTCAGTTTAATATTTCTTCATAATGAGCATTACTTTAAAATACTGTGTCGAAATCATGAAAGATGCTTAACAACTGAATGTCGAAGGGAAAGGAGTATCGCACGAACGTCCTTTAAATTGCCCCATGAAGTTCCGGACGGAAAGCATCCTTGGTTTTTAAATGCTTCCGGTACATTTTCGATGCAGGATCGCAAGGATTTTTCGAGCCCGTCGGCCAATACTGTACGCATATTACTTAACATATTCCTCATTGTCTCTACCGGTATAATGGTGGTGTTCACGAATCAAGTATGAAATCGTGAAACTTTCGATGGATTTGACGTTTCGTACGGTATTCGAAGCTGATGAAATAAAATAAAAAGCTCCGTTTTTAATGCTTTCGAGTCTATTACTGCGTGCATGTAAAATCATCCAGTACAATTGAATGTTCTCATGTCCCTTGAATTGATTGGTCATTTTCACTGCATATTCCTGATGAACTAAATATATATCCTAAATAAAAAAAACCGCCATTTTGGGCACCATAAATGAGATATACGATCAATCGAAAGTCTTCGGTTGAATAACTTTCATGTTTCCTCAACATATGATATTAAACGACATAAAGCGGACGATGAGTAAGTGCAACATTTGCATCACGCGCGTCAAGCATTTTTAGTAGTCTTCGGAATGGCGAAGTTGGTCAACTAAGCTCAGTAATTCTTCTGAACAATGGCAGAAATTATTAACCCAGTAATTTTTGCTAGATAGAATGCTTTATCCGTCTAGATGCAGCTTATGCATATGATTTTGTTGGGGCGTTTCGAATCCACTATAGTTCAGAAGACCTTTTTCCAGTAGGAATATTCCCAGATTTTATATTGAGTCAAATCTATAGAAGATTAATTTACTGGTTTTTTTAAATATCTCCCGCGACACCTTCGCGAATGTCTCTGATTCTGTACAGTATTTGAGAACATGGAATATGTCTGGGGGAAGAAGCGAAGCGCTATGAACGTACTGCTGTACATGCGCACGTCCGATGGGTGCTTGAATAATAGCTTGATTTCAACACTATCGAATTCGCTGAATTGATTTCGTCATGAATGATGCATACTTTTTATGCCTGTAGTGGTGGCATGACTGGTGGATAAAACCAACTTTTTTACATTCCTTTAATTGCTACGGTGTAAAATGTTACCCAGGTAATGGGATTTGAAGACCATGAATGCATGACTTCTTTGTAGCCATGAAGATTCCCATCTGGAATGACTTTGGAGCCTTGAAACTCTCAGATTCGCTCTCTCGATACATAGGTGTCGCTTTAATTCCTAAAAAGGTCGTGAATGTATTTTTGCATGCAAAGAATATCAATAATTATAGTTCGACGCAGGAGATGTCAGATGTCCGTCGGCGAATTTAATGCCATGAGCTATCGAAACGTCACCTGTGGAGGGTATTGTCTTATCAACTTACCATATGGACGACGGACGATTTTTCAACTCTTTCGGATTGTTGCTCGTCCGCAATGCCTGCAGTACAATCCGCGAAGTGAATACGAATTTCCGAGTTTCAAGGTTGCTTTTTGAAATATTGTACTGGATTTAATTATTGAATGAAATAAAAATAATAATTTTTGGTGTGCAATGAATATTCGATTACTTTAAAACTGTTCATGTCACGATTCGGATCATATTATAACGTGCTTCAATACTGTACTTAAAATTTGGTCTAGATGCCTGTTGGCGCCATCGCTCTGTAGTTAATTGGGTGAGATGAGATATTAAACAAGAAACGGTTCCAGCTTTCATGCTTTTTTCAATAAAAAATAACTCTTCCGTGTTTTTGGCGCTGATTACAGAGACAGGAAAATAAATTGCTCGTAATTTCAATGAACAAACTTGCGATTTAGGATATAAAAAATCTTTGGTAATCATTCGTTTAAATTTAAAACGCAAAATGATGAGAGGGGCGGAGAATGCATACGTCATCACGCGTGACAAACCAGGCAAAAGGACAATCCCCAGGGTTTTTCCTATGGCACAGGCTCGGCGTCCCATTAAAATTTTTTTTCTGTATTTCTACCAGTTTCTTTCTCAAAGGAATGGACTAAGGCCAACTCAAGTGCTGCAGAGGCATGACGATAGGAGGCTTTGCCCTCGCAGCAAACACTCAGCTCTCAGAATTCATGGGAATGTGCTGATTCACTCACTACCAGTCTGATTCGGATTCTCTGTCCGCTGGTTGAAATGCTGCCCCCTCGTCTGATTCGCCTGACGCCCTCATCGGCAGAGCTCGCGTGATTTCGTTAATTTTCATCAACTTGCGCTTCGGTAGAGAAAACGTCTTGACGAGAATTCATCATTCATTAGGTGGAGCTCATTTGATAAAGTGTCCGTCATGCAGTAAAATTTTTGCGCAATTGACTGAACTTTATCCCGCCCCCCCCTCAGAACTACAGAATATTCCCAAAAATCGGGTGCGGTACATACAGTACTGCAGTGTACTTGAAATTTTCGAGCGAAGGCGAAACGGGCTGCTGTCTTCGAGGCGCGACCGATGCAGAAACGTGTCCGACGTTTTCGAAACCATGAGTGCATGCAATCGCGTGTACAGTATTCGACGTACTGAAACAAAAATATGCAGCCGTATTTATTTTTTGCATCAATTTGCCCTCATTTTTTGTTGTGCACATCAGTTCCAGCCTCAAAAAATGATCAGCAGTAGCGATATGCAGTAATTAGTTGAAGGTATTTTTTCTTCTTTGAACTTATGAACACTCATATCCATCCGCTGTTTTCAGCACCCAGAATGCGAAAGAATTATACGCGGATCGAATAATCCCAAATAGTGTGCTGGTTGCTGTACCTTTTCGAGATTGCCAGCCTTTTTTTCTTGTGCATATTGGCCACATTTTCCCTCGGGAACTTTAATTTTTTTGCAATTTTAAAGTTTTTTCCTCCTCAAATTACCGCCCAAAATCAGGATGCGACCTATAATTGCATACAATCAGTACGTGTACTCTCACCTCTCTGTGATGCTTCTCTGGTCGACGCTCTATTAATTCTGACATCAGATAGCTTAGTTATTTATACTCGTAAAATGGATCAAATCCGATGTATCCGTTGATGCGATAGAGGGATAGACTATTAGTGTAGGCATCGGAAGAGCGCATTCAAAGCGTGTCCGTAAGCGTATTTCGATTAATTTTTCCGAAAGTGAGACTCCCCCCCCCCCCCCCCTCAGAACTACAGAATATTCCCAAAAATCGGGTGCGGTACATACAGTACTGCACTGTACTTGAAATTTTCGAGCGAAGGCGAAACGGGCTGCTGTCTTCGAGGCGCGACCGATGCAGAAACGTGTCCGACGTTTTCGAAACCATGAGTGCATGCAATCGCGTGTACAGTACTCGACGTAATGAAACAAACATATGCAGCGTATTTATTTTTTGCATCAATTTGCCCTCATTTTTTGTTGTGCACATCAGTTCCAGCCTCAAAAAACGATCAGCAGTAGCGATATGCAGTAATTAGTTGAAGGTATTTTTTCTTCTTTGAACACTCATAACCATCCGCTGTTTTCAGCACCCAGAATGCGAAAGAATTATACGCGGATCGAATAATCCCAAATAGTGTGCTGGTTGCTGTACCTTTCCGAGATTGCCAGCCTTTTTTTCTGGCGCATATTGGCCACATTTTCCCTCGGGAACTTTAATTTTTTTTGCAATTTTAAAGTTTTTTCCTCCTCAAATTACCGCCCAAAATCAGGATGCGACCTATAATTGCATACAATCAGTACGTGTACTCTCACCTCTCTGTGATGCTTCTCTGATCGACGCTCTATTAATTCTGACATCAGATAGCTTAGTTATATATACTCGTATAAAATGGATCAAATCCGATGTATCCGTTGATGCGATAGAGGGATAGACTATTAGTGTAGGCATCGGAAGAGCGCATTCAAAGCGTGTCCGTAAGCGTATTTCGATTAATTTTTCCGAAAGTGAGACGGGACTAGAGCGGTTCCCTTGGTGCCATCAAGTGAATTGCTTCGTAACCAAATCTTCGGGAGTGTTTTTCGGCCGAGAGAGCTTTCCACTTGCCGCATAGGTAGTGGCTCATTGCTGTCAATCTGTTGACAAGTGCCAGCTGCTGGGTTCCAGTGGTATTCAGCTCAATATAGCCGCGTGTCGCTCGGCAAAGCCCAAGCCGAAGTCCAAGGTTTCCCCGCGTATTGCTGTTATTTTTGGCACCGTTGCGCCGCCGAACACCTCGCGGTATTAATCCAACCGCAGCATTGCGTGAGTAATAAAAAACCGGGTGCTTTCTGGGAATGACGCTTAATTTATCAACGCAAGGAGGTGGAACGAACGGCGCACACGGCTAATGTGCAGTGTTAGCAACGAGGCGTTTCGATTGTGTTCGGAATCCGCGGCGTCGCGCGACCGAATCGGTCGTGGGGACCGACGAAAACACGTCTGAAGAGCTATTATCCTAATATGTATTTTTACACCGCATTTACCATCACTTCAAGCCAGAACCAGCAGGATCAAATAAAACGCATCTCCCCGCGGGAAGGCTGCTTTTTGGACATCTTTGAATCCTCAGTATCATGT